AGGGCCGCCGTCGGGGCAGGGCCTGGTCCACCCTGGTCCCAGGGTTCCCAAGGCTGATTCTGGAAATGCCTCGGAGCGGGAGGCCAGGGGGAGGAGAGTGCGCTGGGGCTCAGGAGAGCCCGGGAGGCCGCTGGCTCAGCTCCCTTCAGAGTGGCCTTGGGGTCTCGGGAGAAGTCTCCAAGAAGCCAGGTGGCCTCAGAATGCCTTGAAGGGTTCCCCATGATCCAGAGGCTGGACGGGTGGCCGGGTGACGAGAACTCGGCCTGCTTCTTTGGCACCTGAAGTTCCCCAGCCCTGGTCCTGGGTCTTCAACTTCCCTTCCATCTCATGGTCTCCCAAAGGTCGTCCCAGAGGCCGCCTCCACCTCAGGATGGGGCTGAGAGGCACACGGCCCCGGGGTCCCCACAGGTGGAGAAGACAGAAGTGGGGGGGGCTGGCCAAAGCACAAGCACAGGGCCCAGCCGGCTGGGCGGTGCACCCTTCAATCCCAGCTGCTTCGGAGGCGGGGGCAGCAGCGTCACAAGTTCCCCACGAGCTGAGCAGCTTAGTGAGACCCTGTCTTTTGATAAAAAATAATAAGAGCTGGGGATGTGGCTCAGTGGTAGAGCACCCCGGGGTTCAGTCCCGTGTGTGCGTGCGTGTGTGTGTGTGTGTGTGTGTGTGTGTAAAGGAACAGGCCCCTGGGGCTGGGGCTGTGGCTCAGAGGTAGAGCGCTCCTCTGGCATGTGTGAGGCCCTGGGTTCGATCCTCAGCACCACATGAAAATAAATAAAAGATATTGTGTCTGCCTAAAACTAGAAAATAAACATTAAAAAAAAAAAAGGAACAGGCCCCTGAGACCGAGCCCCACCTACCAGAAGACCACCTGCCCTACCAGAACCTCTCCTTCCTCCCCCTCATCCCGCCTCTCCTGTGACTGAAACCCTGGACTTCCTGGGACACTTTTTATTTGGCCCTGATTGATTTTACATCACTGCTTCAAAGGCCCCCAAATCTCCAAAATGGCTCCTCACAAAAGCAGCATGCACCCTTATTCAGGAGGCTTCTTGGTGGTGGTGGTGCAGTCCTGAGGATGGAGCCCAGGGCCTTGTAGTTGCTAGGTAAGGGCTCTGCTGCTGAGCCACACCCCCAATCTCATGAATCCTGGTGGAAGTTTATAAAAGTAGGTTTCTGTCCTGCATTTTTTTTTTTTTTGGTACCAGTGATGGAACCCAGGAGCATTTAACCTCTGAGCCACATCTCCAGCCTTTTTTAATATTTTGAGACAGGGTCTCGCTGAGTTGCTTGGGGCCTTGCTAAGTTACTGAGGCTGATTTGAATTCCAGGAGGGCACCACCACACCCAGCCTGTCCTACATGCTTGGTGACTCCAAAGCTCCTATCCTGGAGCTCAGCTTGTAGATGTTCAGGTACAAGGGCCAAGTTCACAGTCAGAATGGGCTCCTTTCCTCACTGTCCACAGGTATCCTCCAGTGCTGGAGCCCTGCCCTCTGTTAGCTGGACAGCTGGGCTGGGGTGGAGGGACACCCTCTTTCACGTGTGGGAAGAACCTTTATGTGGCAACTCCCACCTTCGTATCACCAGAGAAGTTCATTTTAGTCCCCTGCGGCAGGCTTTTCTCCCACTTAAAGTGGGGCTCCTTAACAGGTAGTGGATGACTGCGGGAGACAAGGACAAAGTCCTGGACCTGGCTTGGGGCTTGCAAGACACCGAGGACCTCTTGAGGGCATCTCTGCCTAGTAACTCGCTCTGCTTTCAGGGCACCATGTCTTTTTCTCAGGACTCTGGAAGACAACTGGCCTCAGAGACACTGGTCGGATGGAGTCCATGGGGCAAGTGGCTAACAGGAGGGGAGTGGCTAACAGGTAGGTCAGAGTGGGAAGATGATCCGCCACCAGCCAAGTCAAAGCCCGGGGCACACGGGCTCTGCGAAGGGAACTAACTTGTGCAGGCCACAGGCTGAGGACAGGACAGCCGCCAACGGGAGCCCACAGCGGTCCGACCCCTAAGTCCAAGGGGGCTGGAATGAGGGGTAGGTACGCGAAGGGCACAGGTGACCACTTCTCCTGGGCCCAGTGCCTGTTCCGGTCACCCTCGCCATCCTCCGTGAGCTGGCAGACTCCACTGGCCATCAGACGGCGGGGACACAGACAATGGCGCTCTGTCCCGGGAGGGAGGGCGGGCGGGCGCTGGGGACGACAGCTCATCCCTAATGCAGTGACCGCCTCCCCCACCCGGGCCGGGCCGCCGGCCTCTTTCAGGGTGGAGGCCGGGAGGCGGCGGCGAGCGTTCTCACAGGCCGTTGGGCATTTGCATAGCCAGCTCGCCCTCCC